CTCCCGCCTCTTCCTCCTCACGTTTGTTGCTCCTCTTCCCTCCTCCCCCCTTTCTCCGTCCCTGACCTCCGTTCTCCTCCGCCGCAGCCTTCTTCTTCCTCCTCCTCCTCCTCCTCCTCCTCCTCCTCCTCCTCCTCCGTAGCCATTTTGGCTCAAGCCGCTTTGTTTATTTGCCCCAACATATTGGCCCAAGTGCGCTTAGCTCATGGTGGTTTGAAGTCATTATTTCTTTCTCTGTCTACAGGTGCCATTTCTGTTTCGCTGGTCGGCTACGTGTCCAGCTCTGGCGCTATTATTTCAGGCATGCCGTCGAAATATCACAACCTCGCTGCTCGCGTTCGTATCCTTGAGAAGGATGCTCTTGGACAGCTGGACCCGTCACTTCAGCAGAAGTCGCTGCGGCGGCACACCAGACTCTGTGAGCTGCTGGAGTACAATGTTCATTTCCCGACGCATGCTTTATCTCAAGCGCGGCCGATGATTAGTAGAAAATGTTATGTTCGTGATCGGATGCTCTTTCGTGCTGCTGCCCAGGAGCGGCATGAGGTTTATGCTCCAGATGGTGCTGAAGAAGGTGAGAACTGTGGCAGGATTGTTGCTCGGCGGTGGAAGGGGGGCCCCCGCTGCTCTTCCTCGCTGCGGCGTGACGCTCCCGAGTTTCTTCCCTTCTCTCTCAGTGACGAGGCCGGTGCTTGCTTTGAGGTGCGCTCGCCATCTGTGATTCTGCCGCCGGTTATTCCCAGCCTTGGCGCTGAGCTGGCGATTGATTCTTTCTCTTGGTGGATGACAGCCCATTTCTCGTCTCTGTGGTCGGCTGTACAAGACCTCAATGCAGCTTTCTCTCGGCTATCTGATGACCTTTCGGGGGTTGCCGCTGTTGCGCACGAGGGCGTTCAGCTGATGCGTGGAGTTGAGCACAAGAACGAGAAGCAGTTCGAGGTTGTGGAGGCCGCTGTGCTGGCCTCTCTTGTGCGCCCGACGATTGGCAAAGATTTCTCCGCGGAGCTGGTTCCATTCATTGGTCGCCTCGCCGCCCTGGAGAAGCAATCCTCGGACCTGCACGCCTCTCTCTGTGATGGCTTTGCTGCTCTCGCCCTGCAGGTTCGTTCCTTGCAGGTCGAGGTCACCGCAGAAGTCCCGTCTGTTGGTTTGGTTAACGCGAAGCTGGATGCCATGCGCGGCCTGCTGCGCTGCACTTGCGCGCAATACCACGAGACAGTCAAGGACCAGATTTTCAATGCAAAGGCGTACATTGACGACCAGATTCGCCGCGTCCCGAAGTCTGCCGACCTCCAGCTCCTGTGGGCTGACTGCGAGCGACTGGTGGACAACGGCCACGCCGCGACAGAAGAGTTCATGTCCCAGGTGAAGGACCAGATCCTGGTGAAAGCCGCCGAGGAGCTGGGAGGACTCGTGAAGGTGGCTGTGGAGCAGGTGCGTGATCATCTAGTACGCGATTTTCATCATATACAAAATCAAGTTGTTCTTCTTCGTTCCTTATGTGGCCAAGTCAACGAGCTCGGCGAAGAGCACGCTCAGACGCGCGAGACCCTGAAGGAACACTCGTCGATCCATGCTGCGACCTCGGTAGTGATTTCGCAGTTGGAGAGTTCTCTGGATGGCAAGATCGTGGCTGGGGTCTCCTCTGCCATTCGTGAGCTCCTTGATTCTGAAGTGCTTGCGCGACAGGTTCAGCTTCTCCTGGTGCGTGAGCGGGTTCTGCCCCTTGCTGTGGCGGGCGGCGACGCTGGTCGTGCGGCCAGTCGTGGGGCTGGCGGACCCTTTGGCGAGCTTTGCCAAGTTTGTGGTGGCTCCTTCGTTTTCATGAACTCCGACATCGACCCGTGTTCCTGCCCTGGTGCCGCAATCGACTTTGGCAATGACTCGGATGTGGAGTGGACGACGTGAACCTCTCCCTGCCGCTGGTGCGCCTGCTCCCTCTTGTCCTGGTCGTGCCTGACGTGAGGCTGCGCGTGACCGCCGACGGGGTGGGCGTTCGTCTGCTACTTTTCCCTCGCCGCCTCCGTGCTGCTCCCGTGTATGGCGTTCTATTCATGGGGCTTTCGCCTTCCTTTCTTGCTGTTTGGGGTGGCGGATTATAGTAGATTCAGAGAGACAGGACTTGCTCCCTACGATCGTCTCCTCCTCCTCCTCCTCCCCCCATATGCCAAGTCATCGAAGGTGCATGGTGCGCCGAATGCTGGATGGACAAACTCTCGATCGCGCAGCGCTTCGACATGATTGTCTCCAGCCAACTGTACCCGACATGCAAGGGCTCGGTCTACAAGATGACGAATCGCTCGCTTGGTACTCCTGCACGGGCTTCTGCTGCTCTCACTGCCGCTCATCGTCGCGCTGCCGCTGCTGGTCGTCTGGCGCTAGAGATCAACAACCACTCAGTCCCAGCCGCGCGCGGTGCTGGTAAAGGTCGTGGCATGACCTCGGGACGTGGCAAGTCCCATGGAAACGAGCATTCGGTCAAATCCAAGTCACCCCAGCAAGCCTACCTCACCGAGCTGCAGAACAACATCTACTTCGACTCCTTCGACAAGACCATCCTGAAGCGCCTGAGGGCTTGGTTCCCGCTGATCGGACTGCGCTCTCATGCTCGGCCCTTTTCACCAGCCTGCTGACACAGATCACGACCCGCCCGCAACGAGTGCCACGACGAACGCCGAAGTCTCCCTCGCCTACATGAACGAGCGCGCCGAGGCCTGGGCTGCCCGCTGGTTGCCTAGCATCTTCATGGACATGAGCTTCAACGACTTCACCGACTGGATGGAGTGGCGCGTGCCGTACCTCACGGGAGTCCTGCGGCGTCCTCAGTTCGACGCGATTTTTGCCCTCGACGACTTAGCTGGCGACACACAAAAACAGGCACCGCACCGCCATCGACATCTGCGACACGAACCGGCACAAGTCCGCCTGTGCGCGGAGTCGTCGAGTCGCTCTCTGCGCCGCTGCTCATCTTTCTGCAGCTGTCCAACGCGAGCGTGATGAAGAAGCCGCTGAGCATCGTGCCCGCCGTCGCTGGCTGACTGCTGACGGACCCGTTCGTGACGAAGATCGCTGGCTGCCTGCAGATACTGCGCAGGGCGGAGAGGGACTACAGCCGTCCGACATGATCGAGATGGACGCCCTGCGTGTGTCGCTTGCCGCGCAGTGGGCCACACTTCGTCGCCACCTTGCCCGCGAACCTCCGTCAAAGTTGTGGCCCACGCTCAAGACGCTGTCGGGAGCCTGGACCACCAGCTACCGCATGCACGTCAACCCGTACAAATTCCAGTGCCTGCTTGGCTGCCCTTTCAGCGAGAGCAAGCGCAACATAAACGACATCTCACACTACCTCACATGCCCGCGACTGTGGTCGCATCTGTGCCAGCCTCGAGGCGTGGTGTCCGGTCACCTTCTCACCCGCATGGGCCTCAATGGCGACATCTACGACGGCGAGAACGACATCAGGCACGCCATCGCGCGCATGGTGGTCGTCTTCAAGACATACAACTTCTTCCGCATCCAGAGCAGTCAGATCGCCTGCATCCCGAGCTCCGCCAACGAGCTCAGGGTTGTGGACAACGACATCGTCCCGTACAACAAGAACGCCGCGGCCGTGACCGCCTCGCGTCGCGCCCTGAGGCTCCCCTCTTGCCTCGTGGGCCGCGCGGGGCCGCGCGGGCGACCGTGATAAGCAGGATGAACGCTCTCTCAGGGGGTCGTTCGCTCCTCCTCCTCCTCCTCCTCCTCCTGCTCCTCCTCTTCCTCCTCTTCCTCCTCCTCCTCTTCCTCCCTCCTCCTCCCCCCTTCCCTCTCCTCGCTCCTCTGGCCATCCCCTTGGCCTTTGCAGGTCCCTCCCCGCGTCACCCTGCAGATGTGTTCCCCTCCGCTGGCACCCCCTGGGGCGGTCGGCGCTCGAGCGTTCCCCGCCCTGCGCTGCGAACAAAGGCGCGCGCGCTTCGCCAGCGCACGCGCGCGGGCGCGCAAGACGCGCGGCTCGCCACGCCGCGCGCGGCATGCGAGGCGGACGGGGAGGAGGAGGAGGAGGAGGAGGAGGAGGAGGAGGAGGAGGAGGAGGAGGAGGAGGAGGAGGAGGAGGAGGAGGACGAGGACGAGGACGAGGACGAGGAGGAGGAGGAGGAGGAGGAGAAAGAGGAGGAGGGAGAGGAGGATAAGGAGGATAAGGAGGAGAAGGAGGAGGAGAGCTGCCGTAGCTGATGTTTTTCGGGCGACGACAGTTCCAGTCAGCGGAACGGGGCGGGGGGCGGGCGTCCCCCAGTTTTCGGGGGCGGCCGAGAGGGAGGTGACGACTAGGGGGGTGTAGATATCATGGCGGGGGCCATGATATTTCCCCAGATTCCATTGCGCCTCCTCTTATTTCAATGCGTTCCTGGCGCCCCCCCCTGGGCCGCCCACGTGCCTCGGGCCATGATTTGCACCCCCCCTCTTTGACACTCCCCTCTTGGCCGCCCCCCAAGTGCACATCACTAAACCAGGTCCCAGTAAACCCACTTCTGGCAACGCCCGATACATGCGCTCTCGCCAAAATAACAGACATGGTACCGACGCCGCTGCTCTTCGGACCTCTCCAGGGGTGTGTTCCGACAAGTTTCTGCCCGCGCGCGCGACGGTCTGGGGCAACGACGGTGGGGGATAGGCATCGGGGGGGACACATCGACCCCCAATCGCCCATTGATCGCCCTCCTCCACCTCTTCCTCCTCCTCCTCGTCCTCCTCCTCCTCCTCATCCTCCTTCTCATCTTCCTCTTCTTCCTCAGGGTGCCAGGATGATGCTTCATGGCGCCGGGTGCGTTATCGTTTCGCCGGAAGGTGTGTGGGGGGGGTTCTTGATCTCCTCCCCCGGTTGGCCCCGCCTCGCCCAGGAAGGTGCGGCTTCATGATCGGGGGCCTATAGCCGAGCTGTCGGCGACGCATCGCCGATTCCAGGTCTACGTGTCCGCCCCTGTGCCAGCCCCCCCCCCGATCGTTGCCCCTCAGACTGGGCCATGGCGCCTGGGATGTCTCCCGTCTCTGTGTGCGGGCTGCTCTTCTGTCTGCCGTTCGCCCTGGGCACCACGGAGTGGGATTGGGCTGGCACTTTCGACCTGCCCGCCGGGCACTACACGTGGTCCTGCACAAAGGCTCGGAGACGAAACGGCGCACAAGCATAAACTTTTGGCGCTCCGCGCGGATTTCTGGGATCTGCGCTGGGCCCCCGTGGCGGCACCTCTGGCGCCGCCCTTGGCGCACTCCACGCGCCAGGGGCGGAGATCCCAGCGGAGCGCCGAACACGTTTATGTGTATGCTGTTCTATTCCTCTGAAAGGCGGCGTCGGGCAGATACGCAGAAGCCACTTCGAAAATCCTCATCTATTCACTGACCGACTCGTCGGCGGAATCGCTCGCGGCGGCCCAGTCGGATGCCGAGACGGAGTGGATCTCCTCGACCAGTGTTGAGTCCTACGGCGAGTTGGAGGCGGGTAGCACATACACGCTGCAGTTTGATGAGGACACCTGGACCACTCACTTCAAGATCCACATCGTCACGGCTGGAGCTTATGCCGTCATGTTTGAGCATTCTCCCTACGCGTTCGAAAACGGGTTCCACTATCTTCGCTCGAAGGCCGGTGAGGATATTGAACCCGTGCACGAGGAGAAGTACTACAGCACGGGCCTTCCGGAAGATGAGGAGCGCTGTCCGTGGACAATGGAATGGGAGTGGTCGGGCATCTTCCCTGTGGAGGAGGGCTGGTACGACTGGAACGCAGAGAAGGTCGACGGGGCGTACCCCGACGCCCGGATGAAGATTGTCATCATTGCGACGAACCAGACGGACATCCGCGACCTGGAGGCGGACGCCCAAACCTATTGGGATGCGATCACTGTTTCCGATGAGGTTGTGGTTGGGGAGACAATCCCGCTCGGTAGCGGCACCACGTTGCATTTTGATGTGGACACGTGGGCGTCGCACTTCAAAATTCAGGTGCCCGTGGGCACCTCCTACGTGGCTGTCTTCGCCGAGCATTTCCCGATAGAGTTCGAGGATTCGTACCACTTCCTAAAGGACGCTTCCGCGGTTGACATCGAGCCCGTGGCCGAGGAGTCTGTTTCGGGGTGCGCGGACAAGGGCACTGCGTCGACGGGCTCGTCGGACTTGGGCGAGGTGATCCTCGCCTCGATCATCACTGTGCTCCCTACGATGGCCGGCATCGTGCTCATCGCCATGATGTGCATGGAGAGAGCGAAGACCATGCTGAACGAGGAGGGCACCTTCCAGTCTTCCATGCACTCGTTCGCATCCGGCGTGATCTTCGCGGCCGCAGTCTTCCTTCTCCTGCCGGAGGGCCTCTACCTCCTCGCGGTTGGCAAGACGGAGGCTGGCGGAGCTGCGGCGTGGGGCACCTCCTTGATGGGAGGGTGGACCACCTGCATCCTGATCAAGCACGTCTGCCAGCTCGTAGCGGGAGAAAAATCGGCTACAGGCGAGGAGAAGCCAGAGCAGGAGGGGACTCCTCGCATCAGCTGGGCCGTCTCCTTTCCCATCCTGTTCGGGGACGCGTTCCACAACTTCGCTGACGGCCTCGTCCTCGGCGTCGCCTTCAAGACCTGCGGCTCGTCTTTCGGGTGGAAGCTGACGTGGATCACGGTCCTGCACGAGCTGCCGCAGGAGATCTCCGATTTCGCCGTGCTGATCACGAAGGGGAGGATGTGGTGGCCCATGGCCGCCGCCCTCAACTTCGCTTCTGGGCTGACCACCGTCGTCGGGGCCATCATCACCAACTCCACGGCCATCAGCCAGGGGGTGGAGGGCGCGATCCTCGCCGCGGGCGCGGGCGTCTACCTGTACGTGGCCGTGACGGAGCTCGGCCCCGAGGTGGGCGACCTGCGGCAAGACCGCGCCCTCGGCTCCGTCGCGCGGGTCCTCAGCTTCGCGGCCGGCGCCGCGCTGATCGGCCTCGTGCTCCTGGACCACGAGCACTGCTACGCTCCCGTCGCGGAGGGCGCCGAGGCGGGGGCGTCCAGCGGCCACGCCCACGGCCACTAGCCACCGGCAGGGGGGCACCGGCCCTGCGACGCCACCCCTGGCGAAGGCAGCTGGAAGGATCTGGACGGAGGGGCGCGGAGCGGAGGCTGGACGTGGAGGCTTTCTCCGAAGGGTTTAGGCGGCCCGTCCTCCTCCTCCTCCTCCTCCTCCTCCTTCTCCTCCTCCTCCTTCTCCTCCTCCTCCTCCTCCTCTGTCCTCCTCTCTCCTCCCCCTCCTCCCCATGCTCCTCCTCCTCCTCCTCCTCCTCCCCCCCTCCTCCTCCTCCTCCTCCACCTTCCTCCTCCTCCCCTCCTCCTCTCCCCCTCCTCCTCCTCCTCCTACCCTCTCCCCCCCCCTTCCTCCTTCCTCTCCTCCTCCTCCCTCCTCCTCCTCCTCCTCCTCCTCCTCCTCCTCCTCCTCCTCGGGTCGCCTACCTACGGCCCTGTGGGAAACCGTGCAGCTGGACGCTGCCCGAAGGCGTCGTGGCGATTTGAATTCGAGGCGGATGGGCGGACACTGCTGCCACGTCTCTCGCCTGAGCTCTGGCCTCCAGCACCTGGGGCTCTAGGCGAAGGGCTGCGACCCTCGTGGACCAAAAGGAGGCGAGCCCCACTTTTACAGATGGTGGGCCCCACCTCTAGCCCATGATCTTTTGGACCTCCGAATTTGTTCCCAACGCTTTGCAGCCAGGGATGCATGTGAACGGGTAGGGTTGACTCATCAATTTTGTTTTTTCGGGCCAACACCCAGGGACCGCCAAAGCCGCTGCCTGGTGGCGTGCCGCCCACGCTGCCGCTGCGTGTGCCGGCGCGCAGGTCAGCCGAGGAGTGTTTTGTTATCTGCGCAGAATAGTCTACTGTTGCTTGCGACCGTGCGACCACCAGCCCGGTTCTCGTCTTATTTCTTTGTGCTCGTCCTCCTCCATCGACTACACGTAAGAGTGACCTTTCGCCGGAGTGATCTTTTCACGGTGCGGTCCCCCGATCGCTGAACGCGATGCGGTAGTAGCGTCTTGCGCGCTGGTGGTCGGCCCCCAAGAAGCCGCGCACCAAAGGTCACTCTTACCCAGGGTCACTCTTGCGTGTAGTCGACTCCATCACCTCCCTCCTTCCAGCTGTCCCGAGGGGGATCGGGCTCGTGGTCGCGAGGTTTCTCCCATTGGAGAAAAGCGATCTTGGCTCAGTGCCATATGAGGAGTGAATTTCGAGAGGAGTGAATTTAGTTAGGAACTAGATGGCCGAGCTCTACATCGACCCGGGTGGGCCATTCCGCCATGTGGAGAGAGGGTGTGGCCGATTTTGGCCGACCGTGTTGGTAAGACCAACTTGCTGTTTTTGAGCGACAAGGAGTTTTGGGCTTGCTCGCATGGCATGCAGCATACTGGCGGCATTCCTCATTCCATCTCAGCGGGAGCATTACCCGCTGGTTGTTTGGGCTATCTTTTCGGCTGTGGACCAGTGTGAGTTTGGACCCGCCCGATTGGTGCACGCGCGAGGACAGGAGGAGGAGGGGAGGATGAGGTGGAAGTGTAGTAGACACTTGGCCTTGCTTGGTGCCCTGTTCCGCACCTGGAGCCCCGCGTCGTTGCTACTTTATAAGTTGGTTCGCGTGCAGCTAGCGGCAGTAACTTTCGACTGGAGGCTCTGTGAATCTTAATTTCGTTGAGGAACAGTCTGACTGGTTTCCCCCAGGAGTGTGCCGCCTCACAAAAGACAGTACTGGACCAGCGCTGGGAAAGGCCGAGTATGCTGCACCCAGTACATTCTACGCGATACTGTAAAGCGTTGATCGGAGTGTTCCGAACAAGGGGTACATCGGCCTCTCGAGATGTCTCGCCGCCGCTGCTGCGCTGCCGCCACTCCCTCTCTGTCCTGCTCTTGCTCGCCACCACCCCGCCGGAGCTTCCACCGCCCGCCCCCCGCCCCAGAACGAGAGAGAGAGGGCCGTCCGGAAGGGATGCGCACCGGTGACGCGCGCGCCGCTCTTCGGGCTGCGCGTGTGCTACGCGCTCGCCCGTCGTGCCAAGATCTCGACACCTCGTCGGCAGTGACGCGCTGGAGAAGGAGGAGGAGGAGGAGGAGGAGGAGGAGGAGGAGGGGGCACTCCGAGGGGCGCCGTGGCCCCGTCCGTCTGCGGCACCTCTCGGGCCAGATCGACCCGCCAGGGCCCTCGGGCTCGAAGAACCTCGGCGAGGGCGCCCCGTGCGACAGCGGCGCTCTCCGAGCCCTCGCCTCCCCCCCCCCCCCCCCCCCCCAGGGGCAACTCCAAGGGCCCAGACCCCCGACCCCAGACATGATCGCGTCGTAAAAAAATCAGGACGTGAGGTTTTTGCATATTTTCGGCCCCGGGGGGCCCTCGCCGGGCCTCGGGACCGTCAAAAAACGACTCAGGACGAAAAACCGGCCCCGGGGAAAGGGCCGAGACTTCCGGGGACGCCGTCCTGAAAAAATCAGGACGTCGCATGTCTGGGACGTCATGATTTTTGCATGACGTCGACCCCCAGAGGTCTCGACCCCTTCCCTGGGACCGGCTTTTCATCCCGAGTCCTTTTGTTGACGGCCCCGAGGCCCGGCAAGGGACCCCAGAGGCTGAAAATGACGGAAAACCTCCCGTCGTGATTTTTTCATGCTCGAGGGGGTCTGGGGGGGCTGGGCTCGAGGGGGGGACACGCCGACCCCCCCAAATCGCCCACTGGTCGCCGAGGCGGGCCCGATGGCCCACCACGACGGGAACTGGCGGCTCTGTTACCGGGGGGGCCCGTCGCCGATCCGTCGGCGGTGCCTCTCGCGGATTCCTCGTCTGGAGAGAGGGCGCGCTCGCGGGCAGAGCCGGGCCGAGGGAGTGGGCAGGCGGAGCGACAGACGGGGACGGGGAGGGGGAGGAGAGCTCCCCCTCCTCCTCCTCCTCCTCCTCTTCCTCCTCCTCCTCCTCCTCCTCCTCCTCCTCCGTAGCCATTTTGGCTCAAGCCATTTTGGCTCAAGCCATTTTGGCTCAAGGCCATATCGGGACACCCCCGACTCAAGTGGCCTTGCCCGCCGCGCGCGTGCGAGACCCTGGAGAGACCCCCCAGGACAAGGGTCTCCGCATTCCTTTTTTACACTTACTGCTACACGCATTTTGCCACTGTAGTCAGCTTACGGTATCTCTACGCTGCTCCGTTCGCCTCGCCGCGATGGGCCGCCGCAAGGCTCGTACTGAGAAGACTCGCAGCGACACGGAGTACAGTCTCTCGCCACCGCGGAGGTCGTCTTCGGCTTCGAGGCCGCGTCGGGATCGGCGCGATCGGAGCTGCTCGTCACCTTCGCCTCGCGACAGTCGCAGCAGGAGCGCTGGCGAGGAGGCGCGTCCACCTTCCTGGATGCAGGACATGATGAAGGAGGTTCGTGGCATGAACACCAATATCCAGCGCATCGAGCAGACGATGTCTCAAGAGATTCATGAGTTTCGGTCTGCACTGCAACTACATGATCAGAATCTACGGCAAGTACACCAGCGTCTCGTAGCAGTCGAGGAGGGCGCGCAGGACTCGATCGCCCAGGCTGTTGCCGTCGCCGTCGATGAGAAGCTCGGGGCGGTGCAGGACCAGCTGAACGCGCTCAAGGCTGGCTCCCATGCTGGCTCTTCGGCTTCAGCTCCTGACGCCATGGACGAAGACAGCGTTACTGGTGGTGGTGGTGGTGGAGGTGGTGGCGGCGGTGGCGGCCGTTCGCACCAAGCCCCCACTGACGCTCGCGTTCGCTTCTTGGGCACGTTCCCGAGGCCGCTGCTGAAGAAGGCGCGTGAGAAGCACTACAATGAGACGGTGCTCACGAAGTACAACCACCTCCTGCAAGGCGTGGTTCCGTTCTTTCATGGCATCTCGCAGAGCTACAAGTTGACGTTCCCGACCAGTGTCGCCGCGAAGACCTTCCAGCAGCGCTACAACGAGGATGGCGGCCATGACTATGTGGATGCGCGCACTCAGAAGACCTCGTCCATTCGCTGCCGTGCCGATCTACCTGTAGATGTGCGTATGCGGCAGAGGGCATTCAATGGCATCTTCGAGCCCTTCCTGAAAGAGCTGAAGAAGAGCCCCAAGTGGGACCAGACCTGCCGCCTTGGCGTGAACGGCTTCAAGGGGGTATTGCTGATTCGTACTGAGGACGACGTGTGGGAGATCGTCGCCGCTCGGGACAAGTCGAAGAACAACGTCGAGTTCATCCCCAACCATGAGGAGCTCGCGGAGTGGGGCATCGGCGCCGAGAAGGCATCGGCGATCATCGAGGCCGTTCGTGAGGGACTCTGAGATGGACAACAAGGGCATCGTCGGTGTGTGGAATGGGGTCCACATCGTGCTGAAGGTCGGCTTCATCAGGCTGCGGAGGGGTCGCCACCTGAGCCTCGCCTGCCTTCGCTTGCTGCCGCGTCTGTTTCAGTTTCTTCTTCTAGCATCGAGAGCGATGATAGCTGCTCTAGCTCTGTCTGTAGCTCGAGCAGTTCCGATAGCAGTGATTGTTTTCCAGACTCCCCTCCTCCCTCCACTCGTCCGTTCAGCATCAGGGATAAATTGAGCATCGCCAGTTGGAATACCCAAACGGTCTTCGGTTCGGTCTTCACGAATCAGCGCTCGCTCCAGGATAAATATTCGCGTCTTCGGGCCCTTCTGAATCAGCACTTGGTTGTTGGGCTCCAAGAGACTCACGGTACTTCAGGTGATTTGGAACAAGTTCGTCGTGATTTTAAGTCGCACCAGGTCTATGGCACGTTCTGTTCGTCCCCGTCTGCTGGAGGTACTCTCATCTTTATCCACAGATCACTGCTATCCCAGTTCACCCGCGTAAAGCGTAGAGTAATTTGCAAAGGCCGCATCCTGTGCATCTCCCTCTCTGGTCCTCTCTATTCGCTTCAACTGGTCAATATGCATATCGTTCCCGACTGGAGTGAGCATGAAACACGTGGCATGTTTGAGAGTGTTCGGCGCTGTCTCCTACCCTCCTCTGTCTCGCTCGGCTTCGTTTTCGGCGACATGAATTTCATGGCTT